ATGGTATGACTTCAAAGCTCACCTGAGAACGAAATTTTCAACAGTCCCCTCCCTCCAACAACATAAATTGGGCATGTGTTCAAGTGATTTTAGGTAGTTTAATTCTTTCTTGATGATATTTTTATATACATTTTTTGATATGGTTTCGKCTTTCATTCAAATAAATGCAACTRGTTTTAACTTTGTAGACGGGGAGAGGGTGAAATAACCCCAAAGCAGGYGGTAACTAAAAATAAACTRTGGAGTCGACCTCMCACCACAATACAAACCATTAGGAATTCTGGAATTTTTTCATGTAACACAATCGTAAGCCAATTATAGTTTTCCAATCACAGAAATAGTTTACCTGGAATTCTGTAAAGTACAACCGCAACTGTTATAATGATATTACCTGCTATTTTGAACAYACCAATCACATCTGCTTACCRATTTATCATTAAGGATGAGAATMATAAGCAAAAAAAACATGATTCGTCTACTGCGTTCTTCCTAACATTATTGTTATAATTACATAGCACTCGTCTGTGGACAGAATTTCGATTTTAATTGCTACCGAGCCAACCGGAATATTTATTATCGTGTGTGGACGTGTGGATAGCGGATGCATTTATAACACAGCCAACTTCCAAAAACGGCATTTTGTTTTGTGTGCTCGTCCCGAAATTGCAAACCGTTCTACATATACATCACACCACAGCAGGGCAGCTGCATATTATTATATATTATAGTGACGTCGAGTAGTATGTCCGTCGAGACGTATTAAAGTCGGGTATGTGCGAAGTGCGTGTGAGAATAGAACTAGGCGTAATCCGAGTTAGATACATGCGTATATTATATAATATATATATATATGCATATAACATGTATTTTCATACATATACATATTATATATAATACTCAGTGTGTGTGTGTGTGTGTATGTGTGCGCGCTACAGACTTTTTGATTTTCTCGGGGTGTCATCCTTCACCAGCCAAGYTGCACTACCCCCGCAAGACTACCTATTTAGCTCTCGTGCCGAAAACCATATATTATATTCAGGCGTCCAAGAGAGATGGCTACACTGTAGTAGTAAGTGCATGTATGTGTGTGTTCGTATGAAGCACAAACGGGAAATCGCAGAAATTCCGCATTTCAACGGAAACCCACGAACCGGGTCGGGGGTGAAGTGACGACAAAAGGTCCAAATTAAACCGCATTCGAGAGAGAACTTTGTACGGCCCAAACGAAAAACGTCAATTATAACAAAACACTATACACCGCCTTTTGAGGTTGGTTTTTTTTTTGTTTTTAATACTTACGCAATTTGTTTGCTCGGAAAATACCGCCG